TCAGACCCTTAACCAACTGAGACCCCCAGGCGCCCCCATAAATTTAACTTTGTGTATGAAAGCTCACTCAGCGCACCATCACTTCCACTGGCACCTACTCGCAGGCTACCACCTGGGCCCCACCAGGGACAATCACTACCAGCATAACACTGGGGACACGGGCCAGCCCCGGTTCCAAGCTCCAGACCACAAGGTCTCAGTCACAAGCTCCATGCAGAGGCCACCTCTCTCTCCCTTGAGTGCCACCCACAGCCTTGGGACAAGAGGCCTGAAAGCCCAAAGATTTTCAAGAAAACACTGGCTTGTTCATGTTCAAATGTTGAAAAGACATGTCCTCACCGACGGACACCCCTAAAGGTCCACTTCATGTCTGACTACTGTCGTGTTCTGACATCACTGCCCCAGACACTCCATCTACCCAAGGGGTGGGGTCGGTGGGGGGGGGGGTGTACCTGTTCTCTTCAATCATCTTCAGTATTTCCTCTGATGAGACATTCCTGAAAGCTTCCGATGGGCTCTGAAGAGCTTCATACTCTGTGGTGGAGAGAACTAGTGACAGGTCAAGTACATAATCTGGCCAAAATGGAAACATCCAACTAGCTCGCTCATCTCAGAGTAGCCCCATGTTAGAGATGGGAGAACTGAGGCCCAGATGGGGGAAGATCACACAGAATGTATACACTGGGGCTGAGTGCAGGGACTCGGTTCTCCAGACTCCCAACCCAGAGCCCATTCCCTGCCAAGGCTTTTCTGCCTGCTCAGCTTATCACAAAGCTACTACAGGCATTTTCCCTCTGACTAGACCCACAAGTAGGGCAATTCTATGCTCTACTTATTACAAATCAGTCAGCCCTAGACTTAGGGCTGACTTAAAAGTCTTATTTGACTACCCATAGTGACCCCCCACAAGGCTGCGCTTGAGGGCATGTGGCACTTTGCTGAGGAATGGGCTTGAAGCTCAGGGGCTGAGGGCCACTCCCTCAGCGAGGAAGCCTAGCTGACCTCCCAGCAACAGCGCCAGGGCAAGTGCAAAGGTCTAGATGTAGCTTCTGTGAGCATCCTGGGACCAGCAACATCCTCAGAGAGCCTGTCTGCCCACTCATGTATGCATCTCCCAACTTTTGAACTAAAGCAGTATTTCTACTGCAACAAGGATACGGTCTTCAAATTTATACACGTCTTCAGGCTTGGCTGCATCAGCGTAGCAGGGAGGAAGGTAGAGGGAGTCATCTTGCAGGTCATCATGGATGGCATCATTGACCAGAGCTTTTCAATAAAGGAAGAGACGGTGTCGGTATAATCCTGTTTGGGTTCAGGTTCCCCAATACTCTGCAACTTATGCACTCAAGATTAATTGGTCCAAAAACTCCTAATCTGAATGCTTCAGCCAATACAGCCTGACCAGGCTGATGGGTCCAGGCCGATGTCCACTCATGACACAAACTTAACCAGGCACTCGAGAAGGTGCATGCAGCATGGTCCCCTCAAGTAACCCGACAGCAGTTGGGCAGGACAGTTGTGCTAATAAATATTTACAATACAAGAGAAGCTAAAAGTGAGGAAGAGAGACTTTCATGGCTTAACTTCCAGAAAACTTCACAAATTGTGAGTAAAAACAAAAAACTTGGGGTGCCTGGGTGGCTCAGTTGTTAAGCGTCTGCCTTCGCCTCAGGTCATGGTCCCAGGGTCCTGGGATCGAGCCCCGCGTCGGGCCCCCCGCTGAGCAGGAAGCCTGCTTCTCCCTCTCCTACTTCCCCTGCTTGTGTTCCCTATCTCATTGTCTGTCAAATAAATAAATAAAACCTTAAAAAAAAAATCAGAATATAAAACTGTGAACAGCCCAACAAGAAAAACAACATAAGAATTAAGAAAGCATATGGATGAGGACAGAGAGGAGCACAGAACATTCTAACAGTTCATCTGGTAAAATGATGGGAAATGAGGGAATTCTTTTTCTTTTAAGGTTTTTTTTTTTAAAGTTTTATTTTATTTATTTGAGAGAGAGAGCGAGCGAGCATGGGTGGGGGTAAGGGCAGAGGGCAGAGGGAGAAGCAGACTCCCCGCTGAGCAGGGAGCCCGATGTGGGACTCGATCCCGGGACTCCAGGATCATGACCTGAGCTGAAGGCAGCCGCTTAACCAACTGAGCCACCCAGGCGCCCAATAAACACGTTTTTAAATAATACAATTAAATGCTCAAGCTACTGCTGAGTTTAAGAACAGAAAAAGGTCTGCTGATCCCAAAGTGAAGCACTGTCTCTAGAGGTTCAGTTCATCATCATCACATCAGGTTTCTTGCGCCAAACCTCCCTGTGACCCCCAGAGACCGAGGGCTTCCCCCTGCGCCCCGCCAGCTGGAACCCTGGCGGCCAGGACCTGGCACACACACACACCCGTCCCCACGCCGGTCTCCTCTACTTGACTGGGGGCTCCCTGAGGGCAGATGTGTCTTACTATGTCCAGACTCTGTTCCCCAAGGAGGCACTCAGTGAGTCAGTTAGGAATCCAGCCCTGATGCGCTTTATTTCCATATGTGGGGCAGGTAAAAGATCTCAAGAGAAGAGGAAGCCGTCTCTATGAGCAGACTCTTATCCCAAGTCCCAGCTGCTTACCAGTCACACCCTTTGCATCAATAATATTCTCTGCAGCTTTAGCTACGGCACAATTCAGAGATTCACTGCCAACTCTGTTCATTCTTCTGGAGTTCAAAGCCCGCTTCTGTTTGGTGGTTCCAAAGGCTTCGATGCAAGAATCCATCTGTGCATAGACAAATTTGGTTTGTCTAGGGACAGGCTGGGTGCTACTCCTCCTAGCTGTGGGACTGTGGGGAAACTCGCAGCCTTTCTGAGTCAGGATTACCTCACCTGTAAACTGGGCTGAATCATACTTCTCTATCTCACAGGCTTGCCGTAGTAACGGATCTGAAGGACTCGCTTTGTAAACTGTCATGGGCTGTTTACAAATCAACGGTGTCCCCGTTTGCACAGTGAAAAGCCTGAACTAGAAAGAGGACTGGTAAATCCGGCACACAGCCTACCATTTTCCAGCCCTACACCCGAAGCAGACATCGCTAATCCCTCACTCTCTCCCACTGAGCCTGAAGACAGCCTCTCGCTGTCTCAATACAGTGCCCCAGCCAGTGCTGAAGACTCAATTGATTTGCCATCTGGGGGTGAGATGAGCTTTGTAGGAACCGCCTACACTGAAAATCCTGAAGTTCACTTTGTTTTAATGTGAGAGCTTCCAGGCTACAACCAATATTTTCTGAAACTTGCATTAAATCCAAAACCAACTGTTACACTACACCTATGTCAGCCCAGACAACCGGTTCCAAACACCGGCACGGAGCTGTGTCTAGCTGTCCCAGATGGGAGGACAGCGCTCTGTGAGGCTGAGAAGCCCCTTGCAGGTAGACTGTCTGGGGAACCACAGACCGAATGAGCTGGGAACAGCCCTGTGTTCAGCCAGCTCATTTTACTGACGGAGAAACACAAAGTCTAAGAAACCCGCTTCAGGTCCCATGTCTCAGTTTGGTCACACTTACCTTTTCTCTAAAAGTTTTGGTCTCACTCTCTTGTGTCGATTCACTCTCAATTGATTCATCTATCAAAACACAAAACAAGCAAAAACAGAGAGGGGGGAAAAAAAGCAAGCTGTGAGGCCCACAGGTTTTAAGAGTGATTAATATTTATTTCAGGATTAATCAGGTTAATTATTAAGATTTCTTTACTGCAGGACTTCCCAGAGTTTAACATCATGGATCCTGGGAACATTTAGTCTGTGGCTTTATTATACAGTTAGAGGATACGGAGAATAAATTAAGGAGTCAAATGAAGGGGTCATCTGCCCCAACCTCTTCACTTTACAAATAAGGAAAAAGCCTCCCAAAGAAATGATGTGCCCCAGGTCAGTTCACCAGGCAGTGGCCGAGATACGACTATAAGCCAAGTCCTCAGCTCTTTCCAGTAAATAGTTTTGCCTTCCTTATAAAAGACCTAAAGGCAAGCATAAATGTGAGGTATGTGTTACATGAAGCTCTCTAATCTCCCATAAAGTATTCATACAGGGGCAGTACAATCTAGTGGACAGGAACATAAGCTCTAGAGTGACCTGGTCTGAGTTTCACTCCCAGCTCCTATACATATATACGAGATGAGATGAGATATACATAACATAATAGTAACTCAGCATAACTTAATATAAGTTATGTTATTATTACTTATATAATTATAAATATTATAATTATGTTAGTATATAATTATATATTAATACAAATATAACTTATAATTATGTATTAATATAATTGTATAAGTTATATATTATATTATATTATAATATAATATATAACAGCAGTATGTCCCCGTCTGTGCCAGTTTTGTCACTGATAAAACCACCAGAGGGTTGTTACATGAAGTAAATGATGTTGTGCATTAAAAGAGCTTAGAACAGTGCCTAGCACAGAGTAAGGAATTAATAAATGTTGCATGTGTGTGCATGTATAAATATATATGCTGGCTAGAATAAACCATTACTTACAAATTTTTTACATGTAAAAACAAAAATTTGTTTAATCAATAGATTAATGAACAATTTCATTTGCCTCCTTAGAAGTCAGAAAAGCATTTGGAGGATAATTTTTTTTTTAAGATTTTATTTATTTATTTGAGAGAGAAAGCACGAGCAGGGGGAGGGGCAGGGAGAGAAGCAGGCTCCCCGCTGAGCAGGGAGCCCGACGTGGGACTCAATCCCAGGACCCTGGATCATGACCTGAGCCAAAGGCAGACGCTTAACAACTGAGCCACCCAGGCGCCCCCAAATACAACTACATTTAAATTATCTTCCAAATGCTGGGCGCCTGGGTGGCTCAGTCAGTTAAGCATCAGCCTTCAGCTCAGGTCATGATCCCAGGGTCCTGGGATCAAGCCCTGCACGGGCTCTCTGCTAGGCGGGAAGCCTGCTTCTCCCTCTCCCACTCCCCCTACTTGTGCTCCCTCTCACTGTCTCTCTCTCTGTCAAATAAATAAAATCTTTAAATGTAGTTGTATTTGTTCGCAAAGCAAGGAATTCTTAACCTATAGACTCTGGACCCCTAGAAAAGTCAAAGATAGGTTTCAGGACTCAAGAGCCCTTTACAATCATATGCAAAATCTCATATATATTCTTGTATATTACATACATTTCTGGGAAGTAGGTCCAGGTCCTTCAGATTCTTAAAAGGCCTGGCACCACTGCTCTGAGGGAATCAAGCTGGACTACTGCCTCGGAAGGTATGAGGCAGACCTACCAAGATCCTAACAATCCTTCCTCATCTGTACCCTCCCCCAGTGTGGTTCTCAGTATTTAAGATTTAGGGAACAGGAGCCCCTTAAGTCTGACCCTCTCACCTGTCATTCTGGAAGATCCCACTCTAGCCCTGAGCATTCTAAGATGCCAACACAGAGAAGCAGTACAAGCTCTCCCACTGGATTAGGGAAAAAAATGGATCCCCTCCTAAATTAGAAAAGTGTAGAGACTCCTCCTCAACATGAAAATTACTGTCCAACTCATCAGTAACTCCCATCACCTGCTAGAGACCCTAAAACCTCTACTCCAACTAGAACAACGAAGAGTTAAGAAAGGCCTCTGAATGAAAAAAATATCAGACAGGCCCTTCAATACTCTGCTCTGATCACTGCTCAAGTGGCTTTAACTAAGACTATTTTTTTTTTGATTCATTAAAATATTTATTGAGCAGCTAGGGAGATACAAAAGTGATTAAAACACCGTCAAAGAGGTGAGGCAAATGCACACATCATAGAAAGCCAAGTGTAAGGGATCAGTGAATCACAGCAGTCAGAAGAAAAGTGCTTTAGGAGATCAAGAATGAGAAAGCTTCCAGAAGACTATTTTCTGATCTCAAATCTGTAAACACTGTAGGGACAGGACCTACGTCTGGTTTGCTGTACTCCAACCCCTAACTTGTGCCTGGAGCATAGCAGGTCATCAATAAATATTTGCAGGAAGACGCCCTTTTATTTTATTTTTTTTTTTAAAGGAAGACGCCCTTTTAAAAATAACTACAAGATGTGTTTTACAAATCAAAAACTAACTCATCCAACAAGCCAGAACATTCAGTGTTTTTGTGAGCCTTCGTGACAGGGCCCTACCTGAAAACAGGGGCTGCATGTTGAACAACTCAGCATCATACACCTCCATCCGGCCAGAGGTCTTGTTCAGAATTCCCACAAAATGCCTGAATAAAGGAGGAATAATACCAATGACAATAGATTATTCAGAACGTATTGTTTATACAACTTCCTTTCTCCTGCTTAAAAGTTCTCACTGGTCCTTCTGCCCCAGTACACTTGAGGAACACAACATTTGCTGCTGAGTAACAGTAATCCCCTACAGCAGCAATTCTTAGCATAAGAGGGAAAGGAGGGAAGGAGGGAGGGAGTTCATGAGGTAGTTCTGGAAGGGAAAAAAAAAACTACCAGGTGATTCTGGTAGCCAATTACATTTGGGCTCACTGCCCTAGTAGTGGGAAACCCTTTGGGGATATAAGAATCTAGAATTACACTAGCATTTATTGCACACATAAATTTTATGGAGGCAAAGACAAGTAAAACTGGGAATTATGGGGAGAAGACCAGTCTGAACTAGAGAACTAGAGAATCTTCGTAAAGGCATGCCACGGTGTTAACAGTTTTAAGCATATAAAATTAATCTGAGGTCCAACAGGGTGGTTCCTGGGGGCTTCGAAAGGGCCTTTTTTGTGGTTCACTGTTGGATACTATCAGAGGGACACTGTCTGCATTCTGCCAGTGCCTGACAGTTACAGGCTGTTTGGGTGGACAATCTTCATTGCACCGAGGGGGAGTCTAGGGGTTAGTGAAGGGCAGAGTTGCCCAAAGCCAGTTGATCAATGGTAGAGCTGTATGGAAACCCCGGAGCTTTTGACACTACCAAATCCTTTTCTTGTTAGTTCCAGCAGAAACTTCTGGCAAGCTTTGGCCTATTGATCACACACTCCAAGTAAGTGGAGAAGGCCACCTTTTGGGAACGAGACAGTTATAAGGAATATTGCAAAGTAACGAAGGTGATCAAAAGGTACTTTCAGTTACAAAATAAGCCCTGGGGATGTAATGTGCAGCATGGTGACTGTAGTTAACAATATTGTGTATTTGAAAGTTGCTAAGAGACTAAATCTTAAAAGTTCTCACCACAAGAAAAAAATTGTAACTCTGTGTGGTAATGGGTGACTGCTTATTGTGGTGACCATTTTGCAACATATACAAATATCTAATGGTTATGTTGTACACCTGAAACTAATGTCAGGTTATATTATATCTCAACTAAAAATTTTATTATTTCTTTAGGATTTTTTTAAGCAATCTCTACTCCCAATGTGGGGCTCAAACTCACAGCCCCAAGATCAAGAGTCGCATGCTCCACTGACTGAGCCAGCCAGGCGCCCCTAAAAAATTATCTTAAAGAAAATTACAAATGAATGAGGTTTTAGGAAATCCACAAATGTAACTCATTTTTTCTTTTCAGGCATGTCCGCATGCTGGTGTGAGGGTCCCTGGATCTGGGAACACAGGGACATGGTAAACCTCTCCAGATTCCCCCTACTGCCCCTAAAATAAAGACCAAAAACAGCAGTGCCAGGCTCACCATCACTATCCTCCCCTTCTCGCATCCCTTCCCCTACCCCTACCTGCACAGAGTGTTGCATTTGAGAGCTCCAGTCCCAAAATTGTTTCCCACGTAGGAAAGTCTGTCTGTTTCAGCTGCCTAAAATGTAAAGGGAAAAAGCACCACTACAACCGATGTTGAAACGTATGAAGCATCTTGACCCCCTTTCCCACATTTGCAAAAGCTTTAGAATCCAAACCGCAGTGGATTAGAACTAGAGAGCCTCTGGGAGATGATCCAGCCCCACTATCCAAGTGAATCCTCGGTGTCTCTGGGAGAAAGACAAGAGGACTTTTGAAAGGGAAGCCCCAGATAGTGCCAGCTTCTAGCTGGTCTGAAAAGTTCTTGTGGGAGCTGCACCGCAGGCCTTGGGAGACAGGTCCTGGGCTCCCAGCACTTAGAGGCATGCAATAAAATGGTTCTGCCAGCAACCTCCTGGGCCCAAAGTCCAAGTCCTTCCCGAACTTCTTCACCCATCTCTCCCATGACTACTCCTTATATGCTGGCAGGACTATGGAAAGGGCTTATTCACTCTTCAATCACAGCCAAGCTTTTCCTGCTTCCCTGTGTTTGTCCTTGCTATCCTCTTCACTTGGAATATGAAACCTCAGCTGTCAAACTGTCCTCCATCCTTCAGAGCTCAGCTTGGCCAGCCAGACCCTCCTCCAGGAAGGCCTTCTGGCAAGAAGAGACTTCTCTGACTGAGCTCGCTCTCCCTCCCCCAGGCTCTGAGCTTGTCTGCTTGTATGAGTTACTGAACTCAAAAAACCAGTTCTCACCTCTATAAAGCAGTGGTTCTCAACCTGGCAAATCCCCTTGGGGGACATGTGGGAATGTCTGACATTCTGGGTGTCACAAAGAGGAGGTGCTACTGATATCTAGTGGTTAGAGACCGGGGAAGCTGCTGAACATCCCTGCTGAACATCCTGCAATGCACCGGTCTGGCCCACAACAAAGAATTGTCTGGGTCAGAATGTCAATAGTGCCGAGGCTGAGAAACCCTGCTCTAGAGTAGGAGCTCCCTCAGCGTGGGGCCAGGTCCGATTTAGCTGTTTCCCTTGCAGCTTACAGCACCGGGCCACAGTGGGTGCTCAGTAAACTCTTGCTGAATGAACAAATCAAGGAAAGGCCATCACGTCACCAAAAGTACATAACTGAATGGAGCCTGTCCCCATACCCCAACCTGCTGGGACTCACAGGAGTTCTTCAAAGGCTCATTTGCTATCTCCCTTTTCTCCTCTCACTCCCTCCCACATCCACCCACACCCAAGGGCCTCTAAGGCCTCCAGAGACCTGCAGAGTGGAGGCAACTGGCCACTGTGGCACTTACTAGGATCCGCTGACTCTTCTTCCTGGGGTTTGTGGAGTCATTGCTCTTGTACAAAGTAAAACGCATGTTGCCTGGATTCTGCAGCTTCCCATTGGAGAACTGGACTGTAAGATTGCAGCCCAAGAATGAGATGAGAGTAGAAGGACCCACAGTGTATGGTAGGGAGAGTTGGGAGGGAGTGAGTGAAGGAATGGGAATGGTAGGGAAGCCCAGGTACTGACCTAAAGGGGGACTGAAGGAGGTCCTGGTCCAGTTAGGAAGAAGAGATGAGGAAGTTAGGGGAGTGCTGGGGAGGGCTGCGACAGAAGGAAATAACTAAGGGAATAGAGCTGAGGCTTAGCCCAGACCTAGAGAGACAGGGGACTCTCTTCCCGGTGGAGAGAAGCGGGGCAGGTGTGAGTGGGTGAGGGGATGACCGATACAGCCCTGGGGGGAAGGGTGCCTGGGACGTCTTCATCCAGCTGTAAAGTGGTGACAGCAAGATGGTGGGATGACAAAGGCACCCTGGCCAAGCCCCAAGTAGTGGAGGAGACTGGAGGGGGTCTGGGCCCAGCTGGGAAAGGGGCCCGACAGGGGCAGGAGGACTGTAGACGCATACAAACGGAATGAAGGGGAGGGAGCTACGGGGAACTCTGCTCCGGCTCCGCAGTCTTTACCCAGTACTGCTCTCTGGCTCTCGTCGGGCTCCCCACAGTACAGCCACCTCGCACTCGGCAACACCTCCGCCGCCATCTCGCCAGTCCGGACACCAAGGTTAAGAGTTTAGAGAAACCCGGCCCCAACCGCGAAGGCCGTCCACACGCGGTGGCTGAGCTGCGGGGCGGAAGAGGCGTGACCTCACCGGCACCGCCTCGCGCGTGCGGAGACGGCGTGGCTCCGCCCCACCTGACACCGCCCCCCTATTCGCTCTTCCCTGAGGGAGGAGGCGTGCCATCCCCGCCCACTCTTCGCCCCGCCCCTCCGCACGGAGAGGCGGGGCTTCCGCCCACTCGGGACCACAGTCCTCTCCTCCGAGGCGCAGCACTCCGCCTGCGCCTAAAGGGTTGTGTGGGGCCAGGGCAGATACCACAGCAGAAGGGCCAAAGCAGGACCTTTGGAACCTGGACTCAAAGGAGGGTATTTTTGAAGGACAAGAACTCAAGTCATCTCATCTCTGTTACCCACATTGCCTTCTTTCAAGACTCAAGTAATGACGTCTCCAATTGTCCCAATAAAGTTTTTATAGCAGAAAGAACCTGTTCCAAAACACAGGTTGCGTTTAGTTTTCATCACTCTTTGGTTTCCTTCAACCCAGAACAGTTCTTCTATTAGTTTAAAATTTTAAAGATTATAGGCCAGTTGTTTTGTAGAATGTCCCTCAGTCTGGATTTGTCTAACGTTTCCAAGTGATTAGTTTCAGGTTATGGGTCTTTGGCAGGAATATCACAGATATGATGCTCATTGTATCCTAGTAGGTGTACTGGTTATAGTAACTTTGACCACTTATACGCCTTATAGTTTTCTCAGCTGTAAAGTTACTCTTTTCCCTTTGTACCTGCCCCTTATTTTGTGGGCAGGTTTACTTAGAAATTAAGTAAACATTCTGTTCATCACACTAACAATTTATTCATTTATTTATATCGGTCTAGGCTTGTAGGTTCCTATTTTATTCAATAGATTAGAATCTGCTACTATCATTTATTTTCAAGTTCAAGTTTTATCAGATTGAGCCAGTGGGAACCCCATTAAACTGGTTTCTGGGTTCTTTTAACATGTCCACATTTTTTTGAACATGTCCTTACTTTCAGGCACAAGATATTTCAGCTTGTCTTAGAGTTTCTCTGCCCCAACCCTTGAATCACCCATTTCTCCAAGAAGTTCTGGTTTCTCTTGGTAGAGAATGGTATTTTAAAAAAACCAAGTCCCGGGGCGCCTGGGTGGCTCAGATGGTTAAGCGTCTGCCTTCGGCTCAGGTCGTGATCCCGGGGTCCTGGGATCGAGTCCCGCATCGGGCTCCCTGCTCCTTGGGAGACTGCTTCTCCCTCTGCCTCTCTCTCTCTCTCTCTCTCTCTGTCTCTCATGAATAAATAAATAAAAAAAAAATCTTAAAAAAATAAAATAGAAACCAAGTCCCTACCCTACCCTAGTAGGTAGGGACTGCTTTGGGGATGCCATGGATCCCAGGCCTGAATGAACTGAGTTAGGGAATACATGTAAGTAAACACACTTTTACAACTAACAGTGATTTATTTCTAAATCTAGGATTTCTAAATCCATTTATTTCTAAAATTTAGTATTTCTAAATCCACATTGAAATCCATGAGATCATACTGACCTCTAATTCCAATTGAGCACCACAGGGTTTATTCTGATTTTCTTTCCTCCCATATTTGTAACTTCCTTTGCTGACAGTGAGAAACATGGTTTCCATTAGCCTTAATATACTTATTTGATCAGTCCTCCTGTAAGTAACACATCTCCCATCACTACCACCACCACCACCATCGCCTGACATTCTGTGATGAACAGAATGTTTACTTAGTTTCTAAGTAAACCTGCCCACAAAATAAGGGGCAGGTACAAAGGGAAATTCAGACTCTAACACCTTAAACCAAGCCCTGGCCTTTACGTGGATGCTGTATTAGTTTAGAGTTCTCCAGAGAAGCAGAACCAGTAGGAGATCTATCTATCTATCTATCTATATCATCTATCTATCTATAGAGAGAGAGAGATCTGTTATTATGAGTAATTGGCTCACACAATTATGAAGGCTGAGAAGTTCCACAATTTGCCATGTGTACACTGGCAGGAAAGCTGGTGGTGTAAATCCGAAGCCCTGAGAACTAGGGAAGCCAATGGTGTAACTTCAAGCCCAATGACCAGAGGAGATGAGATGTCCCAACTCACAGATGGGGCAGGAAAAAAAATGGGAAAACTCCTTCTTCCTCCACCTTTTGTTCTATTCAGGACCTCAAGGGATTGGCTGATGCTCATCCACATTGGTGAGGGCAGTCTACTTTACTGAGTCCACTAATTAAATTAAAAGCTAATTAAAATGCTAATCTCATCCAGAAATACCCTCATAAACACACACAGAAATAATGTTTAATCTGGCACCTAGAAGCCAGTCAAGTTGACACATGAAATTAACCATCACAGATGCCCTCCTTACTCTGCTCAGACTCTGACAACCCTCACCAGGGTGTCCCCCTGCCCAGATGTCCTACTCACTTTGCTTGGGCTCAGACAGTCTGTACCAGGCCACACTTTTCCACATGGATAACCTGCTCATCCTGCTTGGGCTCCAGCACCTGCTCTTGACCACTGCAGGCTCCCCTATTCCTCTGAGTGGAAAGCTACTTTGCTTGACCCCACTGAATGGCTTTGGGGTTGAGTTGTTCAGGGGGAAAAAGAGGAAAAAAGGGGAGGGGGGGAAAGGAGCTTAATTGCCTAATTATTTACCTGTCTCCCCTATTGGAGACAGACTTACTTAGGTTAACAATAAACAAGTTGGGAGTTAAGCAATAAACAGATTTATGTGGGGTTTTTTTTAGGATTTATTGATTTATTTGAGAGAAAAAGAGAGAGCACACAAGCAGGAGGGGCAGGAAGAGGGAGCGAGAATCTCAAGTAAATTCTGTGCTGAGCACAGAGCCGGACATGGGGCTTGATCCCACGACCCTGAGATCATGACACTGAGATCATGACCTGAGCCAAAACCAAGAGTCAGATGCCCAACCAACTGTGCCACCCAGGCACTCCAATTTATGGTTTTCTTTACTGCTGCATCTCCAGTTCCTGGAGCACTGCCTGGCACATAAGTAGATCCTCAATAAATGTTGAATGAATGAGTGACAGGGCAAGGAATGAATCTGAATCATCACTAATCCTAGGAACCTCAGGACTGGAGCTCAAAGATGCTTACTAATGGTGCTTAAAATTAACTGGTATTGGGTTTACACAGAGTAGATTCTCTATAAATGTTGATTGGTTGAATGAAAACATCAGCAGTTAAGTCAAAGTTAAAGGGTGACAAAGAAGACAGCATGACTGAAAGAAGTGGATTGTAGTTCTTGAGAGGTGTCCTGGCCCCTCCTGATATAGGGACATGTATATGTATAGCCTTTCTACTCCAAGTGTGGCTCTCGGGCCAGCAGCATCAATGTTATCTGGGAACTCATTAGCGGTGCAGAATCTCCAGCCCTATCAGATCCTCTGAATCAGTATCTGCACTTGATCAGGTCCCTGGGTGATTAGTGTGCACTTCAAGGTTGGGAAGCACAGTCGTAAAAGATTGTTTCCCTTTTAGGCACATCTTTACCAGTCAGACAGAGTCTGTGAAAGTCCTGAGAATTGGCTGCTTTATGGCTGGGTGGAAGAACGAAGAAAACACATATGGACTGAGAGCAAAGACTCCCAGAATTACAGCAGTTAAGAATTCAAAGTGACAGTGCTTCTATTTGAGGAAGCAAAGTGTTAATGGCAGGGTGACTGGGAAGAGGATTGTAGTATGCCCCTATGTTGTTTAATTATTTAACAATGATTCAAAACACATGTACACCATATATGTATAAATGCACGTGTACATAACTGGGATGAGGCAAGATGGAGGGAGCCATCTTCCGGCAGTGACGAAAATGCAAACACCTACCAAGGCCTCTTCTAAATTAGAATCAGGGGTAATCACAGGCTGCATTTATCATAAAATGTTTGTTTATAAGCTTAGTTTGGAAATTCGGAGACTTCTGGAGTTCTCTCTTAGCTTCATTTTTCAGGAGAGGGAACCAATGTTTAGCGAGTAAGAAAGAATAAGGCTGGGGCGGGGTGCGCTGGCGGCGGGAGGCGGTCCTCTTTTCCTTGGGTGATATCTCCACCTGCTGGCCGTTCAGGATATGGCTAAGGAAGACCTGAAGCGCTTGCAGAGCGTGTACTCTCTCCCAAGCGTTTCTTCTGCCTCACCATTTCCCTTTCTTCCACCTCTGCCTCTTTTTCCTTCCTTTCTTTTTCTGTTTGCCTCACTCTCCTGTTCTCCCTTCTGTCTTTCCTTTCTCTTCCTTCATATCCCTGATGCAGGCTCCGATTGTATTCTGTAGACGTGGACAGCTCATTTCTTATGAGGCCGCCTTCAACGTGGACGGGTTTTTCCTTACACGAAGCTGAATCTACCTTCTTTTTTTTAAGATTTTATTTATTTGACAGAGGAGACATAGCGAGAGAGGGAACACAAGCAGAGGGACTGCTAAAGGGAGAAGCAGGCTTCCCACCTAGCAGGGAGCCGGATGTGGGGCTCGATCTTAGGACGCTGGGATCACGACCTGAGCCGAAGGCAGATGCTTAACGACTGAGCCACCCAGGCGCCCCTGAATCTACTTTCTGTAGCTCCCCCCTGCAATTCCAGTCCTGCTCTACAGAGCCACACAGAACACGACACATTTCCTCTGCCCTGAGCTCTCCAAAATCTTGAATACTCTGATCACACTTTGCATTTATCTGCTCCTCTCCTTCTCAGCAGCTCCCTCCAGCCCCTCAGCTATGTCACACACCAAAGTTTCTAGGTCTCTCCTCATCCAGGTCACCACGGCTGGACACACGCCAATATATTGGGATCCCTCTACCACTGTGGGACCCCACATGGATCAATACTCCAGTTCCGGGCTGGGTAGCACAGAAAGGATCCATCACTTCCTTTATGTTATGGTATCTTCTAGCTGCCTTTCCTAATGAAACCAATATGTGCGTTTATTCTAAGCATCCGCCTTATAATGTTTAGTTAACTTATTTGGAGTTAACAATAAACAAAAATTCTT